CAAGCAACACCTCCCCTGGCGCCTAGCTTCTCACTCACCTCTGTGTCTTCCAGACCTCACCCCCACTCCATGCCAGTTCTTGCCTTGCCAAAGATGCTCCTGCTGTGGAAGGAGGGGCTACGAGCATGCTGTTGAATACTAAGGCCCCAGCCCAGAAACCCTGAAGTCCACATCTCTAAAAAAAAAAAAAGGCTTCAAAAAGGTTGGACTTGGGGAAAGGAAGAGCTGGGGAGGGGGGACGAGACAGTGCCACTTCTTGTTGGGGAAGGGGATTCTCATGTGTTTTTTTAAAAAGGGAGCTTCTAAAAAGATGGAGGAGGTGCTGCCGCAGCTTCTTCTTGTCAGCTTCTTCTCATAGGTGATTCTCGGGTCTGGCATGTGGTTGGCTGCAGTGAAGAAGTAGGCACCTTTTAAAATAATTTTAAAATGCATTTTCAGAAGGAAATCTTGTAGAGCTGTGCCTTTAAAGAAGCAGGCGGAGCCCTGAATAGCCCCACAGTACATAAGAACATAAGAGAAGCCAATGTTGAATCAGGCCAATGGCCCATCTAGTCCAACTCTTGTGTCACAAAGTGGCCAAAAATACCAGGTGCCATCAGGAGGTCCATCAGTGGGGCCAGGACACTAGAAGCCCTCCCACTGTTGCCCCCCCAAGCACCAAGAATATAGTGCATAACCTGCCCCAGCCTGTGAGTTCCTATCTATACCTTGTGGCTAATAGCCACTGATGGACCTCTGCTCCATATGTTTATCCAGTTCCCTCTTAAAGCTGTCCATGCTTGTAGCCGTCACCACCTCCTGTGGCAGTGAATTCCATGTGTTAATCACTCTTTGGGTGAAGAAGTACTTCCTTTTATCTGTTCTAACCCGACCGTTCAGCAATTCCATGGAGTGCCCACAAGTTCTTGTATTTTATTTATTTATTTAGGCATTTTTACCCCGCCCTCCCCGCGAGCGGGCCCAGGGCGGCTTACAAGGGGCATGAGCCCATACATAAAACCAAATAAAACAGTAAAATCACATGATAATACCAATAACAATAATAAAGTGCTTTCTGTAAGAAGATGGTCTTGAGTGGTGTTGATGGCATCCTCAATCCTCCCCATTGGGTGGCACTGTCCAGCAGATAGTTCAAGCCAATCCCACATTGTCAGTGCCGTGCAATTTATGGTGGAACTTCCAAGGGCGATTCCTCATCCCGATGGTATCGCCACCGTTGGTTTTGTGAGAAAGGGAGAAAAGTACTTCTTTCTCAACATGCTCTATCCCATGCATAATCTTATAAACCTCGATCATGTCACCCCTCAGCCATCGTAGCAACGGGCCAGCCTACAAATGGTTAAAAAGATTATCATACTGCACACAGTAGATGAGAGGGGGCCATAACACTCCCAACACAGAGTCCTGAGAGTTATGTGGGCTACATTAACAAAATACCAAGAACACTACAACAATCTCAGTAAACCTGAAGCAGCACCAAGCTTTGTATAGATGGAGTAGTCTTCAGAGGAACCTGGTTGAAGAAGACAGTAATCACAGGCAGAACAACAAGAGAAGGGAAGCTAATTGGTAGTCACTTTCTGCCTTCTTGTGAAGCAGAATTCTTGTCACTGCATTCTCAGTTACTTCATACACTTAAGACAACTTTTTCAGTACTTTCCTTGTCTGATGAAACCACCAACCAAAATCATGTGTTCATTTTTTTAAACTAGAGCTTATAATCGATAGCATGCACATTCCACAGGAAGTGGCCAGTATTTTATATTATACTGGTAACACTGAATGGTGTTGACAGATAAATTCAGTCTAAAGGAAATATGACATCTTTTCAAATCTTAATCTCAACAATATTTAATTTGAACTGTTTGCAGAAAACTACAAAAAAGACAAAGAGACAAAGAGACAAATCGGGACATTATTGCTGTTCTCTAACAGCAGTTACAATGTGGATAGTACAGCTGAGGCACTGACAGTCTCATAACTCACTTAAGGCCTGAATCAGGCTGAAAATATACTCTAGCTTAGAATGGAAGATCCATGAAAGCTCATACCTTGAATAAAACTTTCTTGGTCTTAAAAATGCCACTGAACTCTAAATTCATTCTACTGCTTCAGACCAACATGGCTGACCACCTGGATCTCTCATATTTGAAAAAGTGTGCATGAACACAAAAGCTCATACCTTGAATAAAACTTTGTTGGTCTTAAAGGTGCCACTGAACTCTTGTTAGAACAGAAGGTTAGTCAGAGCTGACAGAAGGAAAGATCACTCTCCTCTTACATCAGTTAAAGCGACTCTGACGCTGTAAGAGTGGTGGGACTGTGGCAACTGTCTGGGTATGTTCCCCCAAGGTTTAATCGGTCCTTGGAAGGAGGGTTTGTTTCTTCCCCTCCTGACTCTTGAGGCCTTCTAGGGTTGAGCCTGATTATGATTTATTTCAAAGATTAATTTGATAATATATTGTAAATTTATTATAATGAGCTAAGATTGTTTGAAAATCTTATAAACATTATCATGTAATAATTTTGGGAGAAGAAAGAAGATGAAGAAGATACAAAGATAAAGCATGTTAGTGAAGTTTTGTTTTTCATAATATTAATGATTTTGGTGGTATTGTTAAATTATAAAATTCTTTCATCAATAAAACAAAATGAAAATTAAAAAAAAGATTCAACTCAAGGTGTTGGTGTTAACCTTTACAGCCCTTAACAATCTGGGACCTTCATACGTGCCGGACCGCCTCTCCTGTTACAACCCTCCGTGCTCCCTTCAGTCATCCTCTAGGGGTCTCTTGCAGGTGCCCAGCCCCAGGATGTCTCAGCTGACACAAGGGGAAGGGCCTTCTCAGTTGTGACCCTTGCCCTATATAATGTACTCTATGATGACATCCGTGCCCTACCAGATTTGTTTAGTTTTCACAGGGCATGAAAGGCTGAATTCGTTTAGGTGGGCCTTTGGAGTATAATCAACATGTTTGGGTTGTTTTCTTAGTAGTGTGGTGCTAGCCCCATATTTTAATGGTTTATCATTTTAATGTTAATATTTTATATTTGTTATCCGTTTTTATGCTGTTTTTAACTTATTTATCCTGTTTTAATGTTGTACGTTGCCACAACACCCTTTGAGTGATTGAGTGGTGACTAAAAAATCTAATAAATAAATAAATACCTTCTGTGCTCATTGAAGTCAAGGGTGTAACTCTGCTTAGGATGCCTCTATAAATCTTGTAGAACTATCACTGGAACTTCTCACAGTCCAGGAAAGTACAAAAAGCATAACACTAGCATAAAAATATGAACCTGAATGGTCAATAACGAAATTAACCTGTTGGCCTAATCATTATTTTACCTTCATTTATTTTTAATTGAAAAAGAAAGCTTTTTATTGAAGTCTGTTTAGCTCTGAAGAGTGAATAACGGCATAGTGTTTATGGCCCACACTGTGTATTAAACTTGTCAAACACCTTTTATGTATTTATGTCAGAATATATCACCCTAATGAAGAGGGCTGCAATTTTTAGTTGATTAATTAGTTAGATTAATCAATTAAAACAATGGATATATTTAAAAGATGTCCCCAATTAATCAGGTAGCTAATTAAAAAAAGATTTTTAGTACAGCAGTTTACAAACACCAAAAACCAAGTTACCTTAGAAGAGGCATTCCTCTTTCTGCCTAACTCAGGGAGAACACCTCTTCCAAAATGATTTGTACTGTATTATAGTACATGTATCTAATATCAATAGTATTTTTTCCAGAAACATCATTTTTCTCATTAATGCAGATTTAATCGGTTCATTGATTAACATTTCCTGGATTGGGTACAAGCCTTTTAAATAAACTTTTACATGGTCTGGAAGATGAGATTCCTGATAATTGAAAAATACTGTATTGGAATCAGTGCACCCTTTTATTTTATTTTACAAAATTTATATTTTGCCTTTCTGACCTCATAGGGGCCACTAAGGCAGCTAAGAAATTAAAACATACATAACAAAATCACATTTTAAAACCATTACAGCCAATTAAAAAGAACAACAAATCATAAAAAGACAGGTTGCTTACCTGTAACTGATGATCTTCGAGTGGTCATCTTTGCATTCACACCTCTGGGATATAGTGCGCCTGCGCCAATTCTGATCGGTACTACTTAGAAAGCAAAAGGGATTTTCGCGCCCGCTCCCCAGTCACGTGCTGGCCCCACTGTGCATGATTAGGGGAGGGGCACGACAAACCTGCCAGTTCATTCTGACCGCTGCCATCAGTCTCAGAGCAAAAAACAAGAGGACCGAAAACAGAGGGGAAGGAGGGCGGGTGGTGTGAATGCACAGATGACCACTCGAAGATCATCAGTTACAGGTAAGCAACCTGTCTATCTTCTTCGTGGTCTCTGGGAGATTAACAAGCAAAAACAGGCCTACCTAGAGGAGGGAGCTGAAGGTCCTAGACCTGCGCCGCCTATAACACTGCTCATCCCACCGCAGAACACTGATGAAGACATACATCCAAGGCATAATGCTTCACAAACGTGTGAGGAGTAGCCTAGGTTGCTGCTCGACAGATGTCACTGAGTGACGACCCTCTCAGGAAGGCTGTAGACATAATTACTGCCCGGGTGGAATGCACTTGGAGTGGACCCGGGAGTGGCCTTTTGGCTGGTAGGTAGCACAGTTTAATTGTCTCCACAATCCACTTGGATGGATGCTGCAAAGAGAGCTTTTCCCCATGCACGGGTGTGGTATAGGAGACAAACAAGGCTGGTGACTGCCAGAAGGGCCTTGTCCTATCCAGGTAGAACAGGAGGGCTCTCTTTACGTCCAAAGACGATGTTCTTCACTGCTCGCAGGGGACGGGAAGAATGCTGGAAGTACAATGTCAGCTTGCAAATGGAACTTGGAAACAACCTTGGGCAGGAAAGAGACATCCGGAGCCAAGGTGACAACCTCATGGTGAAAAACTAAGTACGGTGAATCACAACGGAGTGCAGACAGCTCGCTCACCTGTCTTGCTGAGGTAATAGCTACCAGAAAGGCAGTCTTCCATAAGAGAAGTTGCAGACTAGATGTGGCCATGGGCTCAAATGGTCTGTGCATCAGCTTGGACAGCACTAGAGGTAAGTCCCAGGAGAGGGTAGAGCCATGAGCCGGAGGGAAGAGGTGAGCAAGGCCCTTCAGGAACTGTTTCATTTGTGGGTGAGAAAAAACAGAATAGCCATCCGCCGTAGGGTGATTAGCAGAGATGGCAGCCAGGTTAACTTTCAATGAGGCACAACTAAGACCCAAGTCCAAACAGGACAACAGGAATCCAAAAACTGCTACCAAGTTCATAGGAGGCGGAGGTAAACCCAATGACTCAAGGTAAGTTAAAAATTTCTTCCATTTCCCATCATAGGAAGCATGTGTGGCCGGTTTGCAACAGTTCAACAGAATGTGATCTATCCTGCTTTTAAGCTGTACTAGAGGATCCTCCATGCCGTGGGTTTGAGGTGTGGTAGATCGTGGTGGAGCACTTGACCCCCCTGAGCCAGGAGGAGATCTGGTGCCAGAAGAAAGTGCATGAAGGAGTCCTGGGACATGTGAAGTAGAGTTGGGAACCAATGCTGAAGCTGCCACCATAGAGTCACAAGGATGCACCGAGGTTGTTCCTTCATGATCTTGCTTAGCACTTTGGTAAGCAGAGGGATTGATGGGAATAGGTACATGTGCCTGTAAGACCATGGGTAAAGGAAACCATCTCCCAGAGATAGAGTCCCGTCCCACCCTGGTATAGAACAGGCGATACTTTGTGTTTTGACGCGTTGCAAACACATTCTATTTCTGGGTAACCCCATCTGTCAAAAACTGGTTGGAGATACTCAGGAAGTCTGCGTGTACACATTGAGTGACCAAGCAGCTAGGTAAGGAGATAGGCATGTGGGGGGTAAAGGCAAATGATGTGAGTCAAAGGCTCTGTTTGGGAGCTTTAGGAGTCTTAGCCCTAGATTGAGTGGTGGGTGAAAACTTAGATTTGTGTCCATAAGGGCGAGAAGACACAGTGGGTGACTATTGCCATTGCTCCTCTGGAGAGGACTCCTTGGTGGGAGTATGGGCTTCGGACTGAGATGTCAGGGCCGAGCGTTTCAGCATTGGGCGGTCGACACTGGAGTGAGTCAGTATTGGAGACAACGTGGCCATCGATCCTGAGGCAGGAGTAGACATCGAACCATGTCTCGAAGTGTCCTGTGACAACAACATTGTTGAGAGAGCTAACTCCAAAAGTGCAACATGAAGTCTTGCAGCCCTATTCTTTCTTGTCTGCTTCAAGAACTTTGCGCAATGGGCACAGGAGTCCACTCAGTATGATTCCCCAGTGTTCCCCAGTACGAGTCCCCAGGCAAAGCGAGTGTTCGTGGGGGGGGGGCAATTTTACTATCGCACTTGAGGCACCATTTAAAGACCATAGACCAGGAGGGAGGGGATGGGAATGGGTCTGCCCAGCAGGGAAACCCAAACAAAAGAGTCTGAAAAAAGCAAAACCAAGTAACAATAGTGTCCTTTCACTTAACAGGAAAAAACTCTGAAGAGAAGAAGAAGAAATGAAAAAAGACCTTAAAGCCAGAAAATTACCAATCGAAGCAGAGGAGATCCTACCAGCGCGGCAATCAGAAGAGAACTGGTGGGATTGTCATGCCCCTCCCCTAGTCATGTGCAGTGGGGCCAGCATGCGACTTGGGAGCGGGCGTGAAAATCCCTTTTGCTTTCTAAGAAGTACCTATTGGGGTCAGTGCAGGCGCACTATATCCCAGAGGTGTGATGCACAGAGACCACGAAGAAGATCAATTAAAGCCAGAACTGAAATACATAGAAAGATATAAAAACACCAATTAAAAGTATTGCACAGGAAGGAGGTTTGAGAACACCAAATGAAACAAACAAAAATCATCACCCACTGTCAGAGGATGGCAACAGAAGGGAACAAATGAATCTCCCTGGGAGAGAGCTCCAGAGTCTTGGTGCCATGACCGAGGAGTCCCAGATTGCCATACACCTAATCTCAGTAGGTAGGGCCTATGAAGGCAACCATAGTGGTTGTGTAGGTACATATGGGAGTAGGTAGTCCTTCAAATATGTTGGTTCCAAACCATACAGGGCTTTAAAGGTCAATGCCAGCACTTTGAATTGTGCCTAGAAACAAACTGCAGGCCTATGTACATGGCCCAAGTCTGGAATGAAATGGTCCCAATGACTCACTCCAGTCAACATCCGAGCTGCAGCATTCTGCTCCAACTGAAATTTCCAAACATTTCTCAAAGGCAGCCCTATGTAGAGAGATTTGCAGTAATGAAGAAGAAGAGGAGGAGGAGGAGGAGGAAGAAGGAGGAAGAGATTGGATTTATACCCTGCCCTTCACTACCCAAAGGAGTCTCAGAACGGCTTACAAACTCCTTTCCTTTCCCTTCCCCTCCCCACAACAGTCACCCTGTGAGGTAGGTGGGGCTGTAATGATTCCTTGTTATATATGTGTGTGTGTCACTTTAAAAGTTTGGTTGCATGGCTGAGAGATAGTCTAGAGTGGTTGAAACAGGCAAGTATGTATGATTGGTGATGGGCAGAAAGGGGGAGGGGTTTTGGAAGGGTTTCTGAGTGGATGAAAATGTATGTCTGTCAAGAGTGACAGTTACAGTTTAGACAGTTGATGAAGACAGTAGTTGGTTAGTTCTTTCTGACGTCTGTGAGAGAATATAGGAAAGGCTGTATGTCCTGTTAAACTGGAGAGTAACAGTGAACTTCATAGCTTCCGAAAGAAAAGTGTATTGTTCTGTTAGGAAAAGAAGAACTCTGCCTGGGAACAACCCCCCCCCCCCCCCCGCCCTGCACCCCAGAGAAAAAAGTATAGGTGATGAAATTTGACAATGTTTGATGGAACCAATAATTCTGTTTTATTTCTCTGATGTAATGTGAAGTATAAAATGCTATTTCAACCATTGAAACACTTGAAGAATCTGTTGGGTATTTAAGGTTCCAAAACCTTTGAATCTGTATTCTTCCTTATTAATTAATAAATTATTTTTTTGGTTTCCAACTCTACAGGACTGCTTTTGTGTGTTTTCTCAAATTGGCCTGGGAAAACACAATCAGGGACAGAGGTTCTGTCTTACACAGGGGCTGAGAAAGCTCTGACAGAAAATGCTGTTTTTCAAGAACAGCTGTGCCAGAACTATGGGTTGCCCAAGGTCATCCAGCAGGTGCAAGTGGAGGAGTGGTAATCAAACCTGGTTCTCCCAGATTAGCATCTGTGCACTTAACCACTACACCAAATTGATGTAACTAGGGCATGCACTACATCAAACTGATGTAACTCTTCTACCCAGGAAAGGTCACAGCTGGCTAACCAGTCAAAGCTGGTAACAGACAATTTGGGCCATAGCTGCCACCTGCTTATCCAGCTATAGGCCTGGACCCACAAGCACCCCCAGACTACAGACCTGCTCCTTCAAGAGGAGTGCAATCTCATTCATAACAGGTGACACCTTTAATCCTAGGTAAAACATTCCACTCACTATTAGCACATCCATTTTGTTGGATGAAGCTTCAGTTTTATTAGACCACATCCATTCCAAAACTGCCTCCAGGAACCCTTTCAGGGATTATATAGCCTCCTGGAGATCAGTTGGACATGTGAAACAGAGCTGAGCATCATCCACTTATTGGTGGCAACCCAGCCCAAATTTCTGGATAACCTCACCCAGCACGTTCATGTAGATGTTAAAAACATAGGGACTCCACAGGCCAAAGACCAGGGGGCTGAGCAGCTTCTTCCTCTTCCTCTTCCTCTTCCTCTTCCTCTTCCTCTTCCTCTTCCTCTTCTTCTTCTTCTCACCCCGTTGTATCATGCGTTGGAATCAAAGTAAATAGCCACAACATAACATGTGGTGCTTTTGGTTCCCCGCACATTCATCGTGCATGGCCAGATGTCTGAACATAGGGGAGCGCAAACAAAATAGATTGGCAGTCTGAATCTGCAGATTCATTCCTGCCGCCAGGGTGCGGTTTTTTTTGTTTTTTTTTGCCTATGTGTGCACATATGCATGAGCACATATGCATGTGCATGCATTAAAAAGCCCGAATGGGTAGGACACTCCGTAGCTGAGATGCTGAAGTAATTGGATGCCTGTCCACAGGATGCCTGTGTGGGTAACCTGCAGCAGGGTGTGCTGTCTGGTTGGTATGCCCCACAATATTTCAAAGTGGTACACTTAGAGGCAGCATCATATCATTTCAAGTCACCAGTCTGACTGCAGCCTAAATCTAAACATATTCTTCCACTGGCTCAAGCATGAAAACGACCATTGGTTACTCACCGTGAAGGGTCCTTCTCCTCTGAGGTCTGGAGGACATCTTGTATGGGTGATTCCCATCCATCTTCAGGGAGGCAGGACTAAGTTCAACTTCTTCCTGTTTCCTGTGGTGGGAGTCACCCCTGGCTCAGTTTTGGTGCTCCCAAAAGCAATGTAGTACAAAACTATAATACAGGAAGAACTCAAAAAAAACGACAGCATAACATTAATCTTAACAAGAAGTAACAGGACAAGTAAAAGGCGAGAGGAAAGAGGTAAGAGAAGGGACCTCCTTCTAAGCAGTATATGCAAACAGGGCTACTGCAAGGGCAAGTCGAATGCCGTTCCTCTCTGAAAACACTTTCAGGTAAGTTGATCTCACTCTCTCTGTATGTTGTGACAGGCCAAATGCAGTCGGTGACCCATGGAAGTGTGGCGACCCCGGGAGAGCCAAGATGTCCTCCAGACCTCAGAGGAGAAGGACCCTTCATGGTGAGTAACCAATGGTCGTTCTCCCTCTGAGGTGGAGGACATCTTGTATGGGACCGACCTTCATACGTGCCGGACCGCCTCTCCTGTTACAACCCTCCGTGCTCCCTTCAGTCATCCTCTAGGGGTCTCTTGCAGGTGCCCAGCCCCAGGATGTCTCAGCTGACACAAGGGGAAGGGCCTTCTCAGTTGTGACCCTTGCCCTATATAATGTACTCTATGATGACATCCGTGCCCTACCAGATTTGTTTAGTTTTCACAGGGCATGAAAGGCTGAATTGTTTAGGTGGGCCTTTGGAGTATAATCAACATGTTTGGGTTGTTTTCTTAGTAGTGTGGTGCTAGCCCCATATTTTAATGGTTTATCATTTTAATGTTAATATTTTATATTTGTTATCCGTTTTTATGCTGTTTTTAACTTATTTATCCTGTTTTAATGTTGTACGTTGCCACAACACCCTTTGAGTGATTGAGTGGTGACTAAAAAATCTAATAAATAAATAAATACCTTCTGTGCTCATTGAAGTCAAGGGTGTAACTCTGCTTAGGATGCCTCTATAAATCTTGTAGAACTATCACTGGAACTTCTCACAGTCCAGGAAAGTACAAAAAGCATAACACTAGCATAAAAATATGAACCTGAATGGTCAATAACGAAATTAACCTGTTGGCCTAATCATTATTTTACCTTCATTTATTTTTAACTGAAAAAGAAAGCTTTTTATTGAAGTCTGTTTAGCTCTGAAGAGTGAATAACAGCATAGTGTTTATGGCCCACACTGTGTATTAAACTTGTCAAACACCTTTTATGTATTTATGTCAGAATATATCACCCTAATGAAGAGGGCTGCAATTTTTAGTTGATTAATTAGTTAGATTAATCAATTAAAACACTGGATATATTTAAAAGATGTCCCCAATTAATCAGGTAGCTAATTAAAAAAAGATTTTTAGTACAGCAGTTTACAAACACCAAAAACCAAGTTACCTTAGAAGAGGCATTCCTCTTTCTGCCGAACTCAGGGAGAACACCCAAAATGATTTGTACTGTATTATAGTACATGTATCTAATATCAATAGTATTTTTTCCAGAAACATCATTTTTCTCATTAATGCAGATTTAATCGGTTCATTGATTAACATTTCCTGGATTGGGTACAAGCCTTTTAAATAAACTTTTACATGGTCTGGAAGATGAGATTCCTGATAATTGAAAAATACTGTATTGGAATCAGTGCACCCTTTTATTTTATTTTACAAAATTTATATTTTGCCTTTCTGACCTCATAGGGGCCACTAAGGCAGCTAAGAAATTAAAACATACATAACAAAATCACATTTTAAAACCATTACAGCCAATTAAAAAGAACAACAAATCATAAAAAGACAGGTTGCTTATCTGTAACTGATGATCTTCGAGTGGTCATCTTTGCATTCACACCTCTGGGATATAGTGCGCCTGCGCCAACCCCGATCAGTACAATGGAAAGCAAAAGGAATTTTCGCACCCGGTCACGTTCCGGGCTCCACTGCGCATGATCAAGGGAGGGGCACGACAATCCCGCCAGTTCCTTCTGACCGCTGCCCTCAGTCTCCAAAGAAAGCAAGGAAGGACCGAAAACAGAGGGGAAGGAGGGCGGGTGGTGTGAATGCACAGATGACCACTCGAAGATCATCAGTTACAGGTAAGCAACCTGTCTATCTTCTTCGTGGTCTCTGGGAGATTAACAAGCAAAAACAGGCCTACCTAGAGGAGGGAGCTGAAGGTCCTAGACCTGCGCCGCCTATAACACTGCTCATCCCACCGCAGAACACTGATGAAGACATACATCCAAGGCATAATGCTTCACAAACATGTGAGGAGTAGCCTAGGTTGCTGCTCGACAGATGTCACTGAGTGACGACCCTCTCAGGAAGGCTGTAGACATAATTACTGCCCGGGTGGAATGCACTTGGAGTGGACCCGGGAGTTGCCTTTTGGCTGGTAGGTAGCACAGTTTAATTGTCTCCACAATCCACTTGGATGGATGCTGCAAAGAGAGCTTTTCCCCATGCACAGGTGTGGTATAGGAGACAAACAAGGCTAGTGACTGCCAGAAGGGCCTTGTCCTATCCAGGTAGAACAGGAGGGCTCTCTTTATGTCCAAAGACGATGTTCCTCGCTGCTCGCAGGGGACGGGAAGAATGCTGGAAGTACAATGTCAGCTTGCAAATGGAACTTGCCAAGTCTCATGGCCACCCCTCCCCATGCCACCAGAGGATTTTTAAAAAAATAAATCAGTAATTGACATATCACTGGAGTTATAATGCTATAGTGATATGTCAGTTACTATTTTTTTAACCCTCCCTAAAGCTTTCTGTTGGTTGAGTGTGCGTGTGGAATAGACTTGGGGGTCTAAGACAAGGAAATGGCACAGATGTGAACAGAAGCTGAAAAAATCCACACCTTTCCATCCCCATCACTGCAAACAAGATTTGGCTGTAATCTTTCCAAAAAGATCATCCCAAAATAGATTTAGGAAAAGATGCAGTGGAGTGGTGAAAAAGCCAGAAGGTACATGGATGCCATGTGGATACTGGGGAAAGAGACTGGTCCTATTTAGAGAGCCAAGGTGAAGCAAAACAGCCATGTGGAAACAGCCTATGTTACACTCATGTTACAATACCATGCCAAAGTGAAACTAAGGCTGCATTCAGACTGGCAGTTTGGCCCGATATAGGCACTTTTCACAAATGGATTAAATAGACCCAGTCACACAGCCAGTTTGGTGTAGTGGTTAAGTGTGTGGACTCTAATCTGGGAGAACCGGGTTTGATTCCCCACTCCTCCACTTGCACCTGGCTTGGATGACCTTGGGCAAGCCGTAGCTCTGATAAGAGCTGTTCTTGAAAAAGAGCCATTTCTGTCAGAGCTCTCTCAGCCCCACCTACCTCACAGGGTGTCTGTTGTGGGGAGGGGAAGGGAAAGGAGTTTGTAAGCCACTCTGAGACACCTTTGGGTAGTGAAGGGTGGGGTATAAATCCAACCTCTTCTTCTTCTTCTTCTTCTTCAAGTTGTACTCACCCCGTTGTATCATGAGTTGGAATCAAAGTAAATAGCCACAACATAACATGTGGTGCTTTTGGTTCCCCGCACATTCATCGTGCGTGGCCAGATGTCTGAACACGGGGGAGCGGAACAAAATAGATTGGCAGTCTGAACCTGCAGTTCCTGCTGCTAAGGTGCGTTGTTGGTTTTTTTGGAGTTTTTGTGTACACATATGCATGAGCACATATGCATGTGCATGCATTAAAAAGCTCGAACGGGCAGGACACTCTGCAGCTGAGGTGCTGCAGTAATTGGATGCCTGTCCACAGGATGCCTGTGTGGGTAACCTGCAGCAGGGTGTGCTGTCTGGTTGGTATGCCCCACAATATTTCAAAGTGGTACACTTAGAGGCAGCATCATATCATTTCAAGTCACCAGTCTGACTGCAGCCTAAATCTAAACATATTCTTCCACTGGCTCAAGCATGCAAATGACTATGGATCTCCCTGTTTTAGAACTCAGTGAGTTCTTGCATAGGGTCTTGTGCAAGGATTTGTGAAACAGCATTAGGAGCTTTTCCCATTCTTCTCATTGTTCTTTGGATCCTCCCCACAGGCATGAGGAATGCTTCTTCTTTTTTGCCCTAAACCAAATATATCTCTTTTGATGCAAAATACTTTTTTGCATTCAGTTTCTAAATTAAGTTACTATGCTAAATCTTTGTACCATTGTCACTGTTATGTCTTGAGAGACATAATGGTAAAGCATAATCTAGCTTCACTCATTATGCGGATTGTAAATACTGACCAATGGTGTACATTCTATGGATCTCCCTGTTTTAGAACTCAGTGAGTTCTTGCATAGGCTCTTGTGCAAGAATTTGTGAAACAGCACTAGGAGCTTTTTCCATTCTTCTCATTGTTCTTTGGATCCTCCCCACAGGCATGAGGAATGCTGCTTCTTCTTCTTTTTTGCCCTAAACAAAATATATCTCTTTTGATGCGAAATACGTTTTGCATTCAGTTTCTAAATTAAGTTACAATGCTAAACCTTTGTACCATTGTCACGTCCCAGAAAAATGTTGGTCATACAGTAAAGAGACTGTAATAATCATTTTAAAAGAGAGTTCCAAATAGTATCCATTAATGCAAGAAGGATGCTCCACTGACACATATGCAGTGAAGGTAACTGCTCCGAATGCTTTCTATCTTTACTTTGCTAAGGACATATGTTGCTAGCCAATCAACTTCTCCTTGCCTGCATTCCTTTGCGGGAGGAATAACAGGAACTGTGGAGATTTTGCATCATCTACACAAGTATCTTGGCATGCGTTAATGTAACTGGTAGTCAGATTGGACTAAGCTTTTCTGCCATTTCTATTCAATGAAAATTAATAAAAACTAGTCCTGAGTATAGAAACATAATGTATACCATCACTGTACATTGTAGTCAGATTGGACTAAGCTTTTCTGCCATTTCTGTTCAATGAAAATTAATAAAAACTAGTCCTGAGTATAGAAGCATAATGTATACCATCACTGTAAGTTGTAGTCAGGTAGGTGTCTCAGGATGGTCATATAGACAAAGCGCTATGCCTTAACTTACAGCAATTATAATGTGCCTCTGTTTCAGCTAATTTTATTGCAATGTTTGGCATTCTGTGAGCAGGATCCAAAAGGAATCTAAGATGCCGCTCCAGAACTACCCTTGGAAGAATTACAGTGACTGCCAAGTTGTAAATTTTGTGCTGATGATATCACTTAAAAAAAGACAAAACATACATGAGTACCAAATGTTAAACTAGAATCAGCCTGACTGCCAACCACTGAAAAGTACTGCAAAAAGCTGAGACCATGGCCTTTCCAGAATGTCAGAATCACTTCTTCAGTCTTTGTGAAGCAGTGACATCATATAACGGTATGCATTTCCTTTTTCAGTTCTGCATTTATGATTCTGATAACCACATACAGGATCTATGCACCATACACATAAAGAGCTGAAGATTACAACCAAACAATTATAAAAACAGTATTCATTGAAATCTGGTTTAAGTCTTTAATGTGAGATCTTTTTTGTTGTTGTTACAACTCAGAGGTTTGCCGCCATCTACATGAGGTTCCTCATATCATCTTATGGTCTCTGTAGCATACAAACAAGGTGAACAACACTGAGAATGCTTATGTTCTTTGTTAAATACTGCAATATCCTGGAAGTAAGCTTGTTGGAGAAAAAAATTGCCTAAGGTGACAGAATCTGGGAATAATTCATCTCCCCCAGCCTGCGCTTTTTTGATATCAAAAGGAGTCTTTGTCCCCTATTATATGAGGTAAATTGTGAAATGAACAAAATGGCCACCTCATATCTTGTTTGGCCTACCTGGGGATAGTTCTATCAATGGAAGGGATATATTCATGTTCTTATAACATAATTCACCCTGCAGAGTATGTTCTGTCACCAAGGAACAGAGAACTTTACCTTGAATTTCCAAAACCAGAAGTCTGTTATAGAATTTCCCTTAATAATATTGGATTGGCTCACTGTTTCAGGTGTCCAAATAGTATTTTCATGGTATCATAGTTTGGTCTGGGAAGCTTCTGTACAAGGGCATTGTTGATTTTCACTCTATTGTCACTGCTTCGGATTTCTGAAAGAAAAAAAATACAGATGCTATAACCAACAGGAATGTGCAACTGGAGCAATTATCACATATTGTTTTACACTGGTAATATTAATGGACAGCCAGCCCTGTCAGTTATGCAAAAACCAATAGCTCTTCCTTTTATAACCTACAGGGAAACTAAAACTTGTAAAATATTCCGGTATCTTCATTCAATCTTACCTACAGAAAGAATCTTTGTAATCTGGTGATCATTTATAACTGTAGCAAGCAAGATTTGTCAGTCACTAACCAAGATAAATATTTCTGTTAATCCTGTCACAGGAAATCCATGGATATTCTCTGGCAGAACAGATGCCTCGTTCCCAGTGTGGCAGCAATACCTATGCCTAGGTTGTGCTATTTCCAATTACATCATATAACTGAATTCTTTCATTTGAAGAAGAATTCCTGCCTATATAAAACTGGCATGTCAGGGAGAAAGTCAAACTAAGGTCCCAGTCACACGGGCCAGAAAATGCGGGGGGGGGGGAGAGCGTGCCCTTCCCCCGCGTTTTCCGGAAACTAGTACCTTGTATGTGGTGGTTTTTTACTCTGCATCTTTGGCGAGAAGCCACAAATTAGCCACAGGGGCACTACGCCTCCCAGATGTTCCGGTGTGATTGAGCCCGGAAAATCTGTGGGACAATCGTGCCTTCAGCGCAGCAAATGCTCCGTGCGAACGGGGCCTAAAACTCTTTTCCCTATTAACACCTATAAATTCAAGCAGCCCAAGTTCTGCCATGAAGCTCTCTGAGTGACTTCGGGCCAGTCACTTTTTCTCAGCCTACCCTACTTAACTTCATTGCATAATTTCATTGTTTACATACATAACTTTAACACTCACTAGTGAGCAATTCTTAGTTTTCATATACTAGTCTTTGCGTGGCAGCCCATCATTTCATTACCACTTTTCGTAGAAAACAATTAGTAATGAAAGAATGTGAGACTGAAACCTATAATCGCCTTTGTGATGTAAAACTTCTTTTGATGATGTGATAACAGTGTTGCTGCAGCTGACTGACTCAGGATAAGCATATTTTTTTAATGTGATTGATGGTTTTAAGTCTTAAAATATGGTTTCTGACTGAGATATTTGCATGAGATGTTGAAGCATGTATAGCTGTGCTTTCATTTCACAAAAGATAAGGTAAAATAAATGTTCAAGGCCCCTGACATAGGGAAACTGTTTTACATGCTGTAGGTTTTAGATAACCTGACACTTGTTACTATCCATTAGACTTTTTTTAAAAAAAGCTGTTCTTATTGCCTAAATCTCCCATTTCTATAGAGAACTCCAGTACTTCTTTGTAGAAATATCCAAATAGCTGCTGAAGACCTTATCTCAGCTTTATCACTACAAAAATAGATAGACATGAACAGTCCATGACTGTATAAGGACTCCCTTCTCTGCTCCATTTTTATCTCCCAGTTTGGGTTCCAGCTAAAGTAATTCTGTGGTCAGAGAGGTAAAAAGGACACCTGGCCATAGTCATCAGCCAGAAAATGAAGAGGCACTGGGAGCTTATACTACTCATTTCAGAAATCTTTTAAAAGTTCTTCCCTTTTAAGAGCAAATGAATTTATAATAATCCACAATTTTAGAGAGGGTCTATATGTTATACCCACCATGGTGATCGACGTCCCTGTGGCTAGTACCCTTGGTTGTTGTCAATGAGGATGGAGAATTTCTACCCACGGGTCCTCTCTTACATGCTAGTCTCCATGGTGCTTGCAACAAATAGGCCAGCTCTTAAACTGGTCAGTACAGCGGGATCTATTTGCATATCTGAAACAATTAAAAAAAACCTGAGCTGATAAATGTTGAAATAAAGAAAAATCTGGTTCACATAAGTAACTGTATGCTTTGTACATCAATCCATTAATGTTAATTTCAGGCATAGCAGATGAAATGAATCAAAGAAATATTTCAGTGAGCAACCCCTGTAAAAGACAGCACCCAATCTCTTAAATGTATATGACAATTTGAAAGTGCAAAATAGCCTTTCTAGTCTTCATGCAATCTTTGGTGAAAGGGGTGAAAAATATTTAGCCAACTTATTGGTAAAGTGCATAAATCTCAGAAGTAATGTTGCATATAACTATTTATGAATCAATGTATTTGTTAATTGTTATCCAATTGCAAAAGAAGAAGAACAGTCAACGTGTGGCAACTTTAGTCAGCATTTTTGAACTGGGAATGATAAACACCTCTGCCTGGCTCTGGCATTTATCAGTACTGAGATATTATTACCACATAGGCTCACAGCATGGTTACTGTTATCATCAGGGGGAAAAAGAGGGAGCTAATCTTAATGGTTTGTAAAGCCGTTACCTGCACTGGTCTGACATTTATCATGATCATCTTACCACATGGGTCTTCCATAGCAAAGGTATTTTATCTGGAAGGGACATCACTATGAATTATTATTTGCAGCTAGGTAGAAAATTGTATGTTGTAGATACCTTTTCTCATTATAAATCACAGTCACATTTCACCATTTCCCACACAAACCTGCTGAGGACAGGCTTTTTGCCATAACACTCACTCTCTCTTTTATAGTTTCATGAAAATATTGGATATGCTTTCATTAGAAAGGTTGATACTTATCTCGGTGGGTTTGTGTATGTGTGTATGGAAGAAAGAGAACACAAGATTTTTAAGATACTGTATTACAAACCTTGATTATTTTTTAAAATTGTCTTTATTAAAGCATGTTTTAGTTAACAAAATGAAATTGATTCACTTTCTCCACTTGGACACCATTTGGGGGTCGTTTCTCAGCCATGTGGTACAAGGAAAGGAAAGGGAGCAAAGGCACATCCTTGTTGTTCTCATAGCTCACAAACTCACTTAACCTCTGTTTACTTCCTGCCACTGCCCAAGAGCTGCATTTGAACTGCTCAAAAGCCACAGGTGACTTTAAAACCACAATTTGACAATCTGTGTTTTAATGGTTACTTTTTACAATAAGGTGACTGTTTCATTACAACAGAGCACAACCCCAAGGATTCCCTCAGGTCTGTGTTGAATAGGAATTATCCAAGAAAGCACTTAATATCGTATCAGGCTGTTTCAGCCCCATTTTGGAAGTACATCATATAGAGAGGAAGACAAGAGTTATTTGTAACATAGGCTGCAGTCTTTCATACCATTACACTGGGCCCATTGTGTGCATCACTTGGAGGGGCATTATTTATTTATTTATTTCATTATATTTTTACCCCATCTTCCCAGCAAGGCCGGCTCAGGGTGGCTTACAGCACAGTATAAAACAATACAATATAATAATTCAATATACCATATAAAATCCAATCATACAAAAGTTTAAGACCACAACTATGGGTCAACATTGTCAGAAACGCACTAAAGGCCAAGGCTTGGCAGATTATCTGCAGTTTACCCAGCTATCCACTCAAACCAAAAAGTGGGATTCTGTCCCAGAAGTCCTAGCAATGTTGCATTCCTCTGGAACATTTTTCCATTTTCTTATGAGAGGGGTGTCTCACTCACAGAAGACAGGTGTGCACCGTTGCCTCTGCCAAGCATCTCCCACAAATGGGAGACTTCATGCAACTTTCAGGTTTACTGGTACCTGCATGGTTAAAAGCGGTGTGAAAGAATGAGAGCTCTGGTCAATCCACTACTCCTCCCAGGAAGAAGCGGAGCTTCAGAGACCGCTACAATACTGTAGAGAACAGAACACAACTCTTTAGTATTCCTTTTAATCCATATAGGCTGCGATCATACGCACCTTTAGATCCAACATAGCTGTGAATGCCTGACAGATCTAAAGGGCATGATCAGACAGCAACATCTGGGAAACATCCCACAGTTATTGGCAAACCCGTGCTGCTCTGCCACAGAAGTGGAGCTAAAAGACCCTGGGGAAAGTCCAGCTCTATCTGGGTCCGATAGGCCATGGATGGACTTTCCCCTGTCTGATTGCTCAAACATGCTCTCATGCTGTCAGGATGGTCTGATCATTCCAGCATGACTTGGTGGTGTTTTTCTTTCCACCCCACTTAGCAGTATGCACATAATTGCATATTCCATGGGGAGCCCTTAGTGCAGATGTGCGATCCCTCATTTACGCACATGGGAAACAAATGACCAAAAACCCTACTCACCCGTGGTGGCATCTGATCACACAGTGATGGGCTAAGCCCACAGCACAAAGGGAGCTGTGACCTTGAAACTGTGTGTAAAACTCATTCAGAGGAAATAGTCTCACTTCCCCTCTGCTCCAACTGGTGGATGTGACTGCAGCCATAGAATATGGAGGAGGTGTGGCAGTGGCATACTTACTGGAAGGTATTTGGCCAGGCCTCTTCTCCCCCCCTCCCCAGAAATTTCGAGCTGGTCGTGTGCAGTATTGAACATGCAGGATTGCATATTTTTAAATGGCTTGGATCCAGTACTCCTGCTCAAAGACCAATTAGGTATAACTTGAAACCAGCCCCATTTGACTCTGCCTTGCATCCAACACACAATGCAGGGTTGACCAGGATTAAGCATCATGTCCCAAGGCATCCCCCAACACCCTTTTATACATTTGCTTTTGTAACATCGAGCCAGATGAAGAGTTCTGGAGAACTCAAAAGCTTGCACAATGTTATGTGTCATATGGTTTGACCTAAGAAAAAGTATGATGTGGCTAGTGTTCTTTCTTTTTGGATTTTGCTTTGGGACCAGCGTGGCTGCAAACAATTTGGAGTCAGGGAGCCAGAGTGTGAGCACACAAGGGAGAAATCACTGATTCCTGCCACTTTCTCTCAGCTAAATAGACCTAGTATTGTATTAAGCACTGTTCTCGAGGGTCCCCTGACCACCAGAAATGGCTTTTGGGGTACATTAAGTGGGAAGGAGGAGGTGGAAAATGCTGTTCTGTAGGAATAACTCTGCAGGAAACAAGCCACTGACAGGAAGAAAATGAAGGAACAAAACTTTAACTCTTCTGCTTCTAATACTTTACACAAATCGTGAT